TTAAATCTCAGAGTGAGTGCACGTTGTTTCCTTGACCACTAAAGTACAAAAGTAGACAGGTCGCAGATCTGCCGGCCATTCTATTAGGACCCTAACCTTAGCAAACCCCCTCCTCCCCCTCCCGACAGAGCAAAAGTAAACTGCAGAAGATTACCAAAGACCAGATTTCCATGCTTACGCTGCCAATTGCCATCAAAAACAAGCGGAGAGAAACAGGTTATCCTAACTATACAAGTCTGTTTTAACTAGCTTATACCCGATTTATCCACAGATTACAGGACCTTTTACACACTATTTATATGGTGTGTCAGTTTGGCTTGTGAGTGTGCCATTCTAATATGCAAGTTAAACCAAAACACAAGGGCCGAGTGCTTCAAATCTCAAATACAGTCCGCCCCGGGAGAGCCTCTTTAATCTGTAACAAATTTTCCGACACATGATCCTATAACTAATAATAGCACAACTCTTCTTCTTTTGTCTCCATAGTGCTGCCAAGTTCTAAAATGAAAAGACATATAAACTAACTATAGCTATTAAAAATAAACCTAGAAAAACGTTTAAAAAAAATCTGCATTGTTTGGTGTTGTAATATGGGGGTGTTTTGGGGGGTAGGGGGTCCTATATCCTCAGGTTTAAGGTATTAGCAATTTACCAAAATATATATGAGGACAAAACTATATTAGCAAAGTGTAAAATTGGGTTTTCGGCAATAGAACATCACCATAGGGTTACAAATGTGGTCCTTTTAGCCATCATGCAGTAGTTAACCACACAGTGGGCTGAAGTGAAATAACACTACTGATTGGGGTAGGACTTCTGTGTTATCCATGGGTCCAACGGTTGTGAGTGCTCAACACATTTGGTCACAGTGGTGAAAATGAAGTGAGTGCTCTCTTTTTTTCCGCTACTTTACTGTCTGTTCGAAAAGAAGTGCGTATCTATTTTAACACCGTGGCACTTTTTTTGTTGTGGTTTATCCGTTTTGGTGGGATGGGAACATGAGTCTGTGGAGAATATTGTCTTATGTCAACCTCAAGAATTGTTCATTGAAACTTAAACGCTGCATTCAGGTCATTTGGGAGGCAATTGGAAATGGCCAACACCACAAAGAAAGTGTGCAGTCTCCGAAAGTTTGAGTTATACCCGTGTAATTCAAACTTTGAAGGAAACACGGATAAAGAAAGAGACTAACCGGAGATTAAATCCATGAACAAAGCGTCATGTATCATGTACAGAGCAACGTTTACCGCCCCCCCCCCCCCCCCCCCCCCCCCAAATGGCTTGAATGCAGCAATGGGAGGGAACCTTTTGAGTCTCTGAATGTTCACTGGATTGCTATAATGTTACAATATTCTACTCAATATATGTTTTATTTTCAAACCAAATATTGTGTTTTCTTTTCGCATCAATTAAGTAATAACTCCAGCTGTCACTGAATTGTTTTTATGTAAACACTGATGGGTAAAGGTAAAGAAAATGGGAAGTCAATGGAAAAAAAGTATTTTTACCTTAAATTGTCCAGAATGTTTAGAATGATTCTACAGTTTACATCAGATTGCTGTTTGTATCTATGAGATATATTTTTTGTTTAAATCAGTTTATTTTTGAGGAACGATTTTGATTTATCTTTGGGACTGGTGTTTCTTGAATGAAGGCCCATATTGCCCCTGGTCTTCTGGACTTTCAGGAGGGACAAGACTGGAGGATCATGGGCAATGTGCTACGTTTGATCTTTTTTTCCCCCTTTGCTTTTATTTATTGATAGATTTATTGTGCTGTCATTTGGTATGGGATTCGAAATTAAACAAGGCTGACTCAACGTAAAGAAGAGGAGACTGAATGAAAAACTAAAGTACATAAAATAATTGTAGTGTAAATCTATCAATGTCTTATTATATTGATGAACATCATGAAATATATGTATATTGGAAAAACAGTATCTATGGCAACTTGTACTTTTGTGTGTGTGCTTCACGTGCTTTGTGGATGTGCAACAATGGGCAATTTTGATCGCAATTCTGGGACCTTATCTGACCTGTATGAAAAAGCATAAATTTATTATCAATTGAAGATAAAACTCTTGCTGCTTTACTTTATCCTAAGTAAACTGCGTCTCAAAAATACATGGAGACAATAGAGGGAGACATGAAGGTCATATTTCTTGTCCAATCACTTCAGACAGTCCACACATTGTGCAATCATCAAACACACACATTTGTGCACACAAATAAATCCGCTCTCCCAAATGGTATGAAGAATCTTATGTGTTGGAAACAATGCAAACAAAAGTCACATTATCCTTGAAATCTATAAAGCATTTACATTATCATTAATATAATGTTGTATATCAGCGTCAGCGTGTGTATGTAGGATTTGTAAAGAAACAATATTAAACCTCATGCAGTACATTAAGGTTAAAAATACTCCAGGGACAGTTGCTATCCTCACATTTCCATTCCTGCAGCCTAATGGAGCAGTGCCCTGGTTTATTCCAATGCTAGTCCTTCTATCGTGCAGTGCAGTAGCAGAGTGTGATAAAGATAGAAAGATACTGATGGATGAGAACACAAATGACCTTTCTGTAGTATACGATAAACAAGCTTCCACCTCATTTTTATCCAAACGCAGCGTCCTCTGAGATGAAAATTGTAAATTGGTCTCTATCTCCAGCTATAAAAATACAGAAAAATGTATTTAAATTAAAGTATGGAATTGCTCCTGTGGAACATAATCAATAACTCCACTGTTGAAATGGTGAAATGCTACCAAATGCCATTTGCACATTTATGGTCCCATACTGATTATACTAGAACACTTCTGAATAATTGTGTTGAATTTCTCTTTTTTGGAAATATTCAATAACTCCACTTTTATACGGTGAAGTGCTGCCAAAATGGCTACACACATTACTTCTCTGCTGGTTCTATTACACCACTTTGTTAGGAGAAATATGCTTTTGCAATAAAATCACCAAATCTTTTCAAAAGCACGTTTCTTCACAGTAAGTGTTATCAACTGGAGACCGTTAATGTGTGAAAGGAGTTAGGTAGCACTTTATGTATAACAGTGGAGTTATTGAATTTATTTTCAATAATAAAAAAACATCACCCAAATCATTCAGAATCCTTCTTATAAGGCAAGGCATGTTTATTGATATAGCACCTTTCAACACAAGGCAATTCAAAGTGCTTTACAAAAATGAAAGACATTAAGAAAATGGCATTTAAAAATAGTCATTAAAAAGCAAAGGTAATATAATAAACATTAAAAGAAAAAATACATGAATAAAAGTTACAGTGCAGTTTAAGATATGAATAGTTCAATTAAAAGCAGCGGCAAAAAGAAAAGTCTTCAAAAGTCTTTATTTATAAAATAAATGTTTCAGTAAACCAACAGGAGAAATGTGTGAACTGCCAAAGTTAAAGAAATGCAGTTGCTTTCTTTGTCTGATGCGGATAATGCATTTAAGCTCTTAAAAAGTATTGTTCAAAAATGATTCTCAGACATAACACAAGTGCTACAGTCTGGGCTTTCTGTAGGATTAAAGCGAAGGCGGAGGTGCGAAACAGCATTATATATGTGTACTCTCTTTAAATTTTGCTGTCTCTTCATCAGCACGAGTCTGTATTTGATAAATCAACAGAACAAAGACATCTAGTTAAAGAGAACCCATGTGTGTTCGTGAATGTATTAGATTCAGCGCAACAAATTTGTAGGGAGAATAAATAAAACAACTGCTCCTAAATAGATGGGTTTTGGTGGGTGCTTTCCAGTATGGGTTCACTTACAATGAGAAAACATTCCAATCTTAGATGATGTCAAATTTGGCCTTGAATTTGAAAACCAAAAAAATGAATTTGAAATTAGTAATTTGATTTTATTAGCAAAATATTTCATCGACAAATGTCGCTTCCTTAAAATGTCTATTTATTGGTTTTCTTAATGACATGGAGCTATACATAAAAATGAATTAAAGGTAGGGTAGGTAAGTTTGAGAAACCGGCTCGAGATACACTTTTTGTTTTATTCCATGGAATGCTCTTAAAGGTGGGGTAGGTAAGTTTGAGAAACCGGCTTGAGATCGCTAGAATTTGAAAATACACAACCGGAGAAAATCTGCCACTTCCTTATAGAGCCCCTCCTCCAACACACACGAACGCGCACATGACCAATGAGGGCACGAGATACGTTTGTGCACAGATGGAAGGCTGACAGGCAGGTAGGCCATCCAGTTATTTTAGCCGGGCCGGCTAAAATCATTGGTCGTACTTTTTACAGTATTACAGATGACATTTTTTAATGGATTTTTTGTCAAAGCACTTAAGATATTCATTGCTATCGGGATGTTAAGAGCATTCCATGGAATATAACAAAAAGTGTATCTCGAGCCGGTTTCTCAAACTTACCTACCCCACCTTTAACATCCCGATAGCAATGAATATCTTAAGTGCTTTGACAAAAAATCCATAAAAAAATGTCATCTGTGGAAGCTGTAGTACTGTAAAAAGTACGTCCAATCATTTTAGCCGGCCCGGCTAAAATAACTGGATGGCCTACCTGCCTGTCAGCCTTCGATCTGTGCACAAACTTATCTCGTGCCCTCATTGGTCATGTGCGCGTTCGTGTGTGTTGGAGGAGGGGCTCTATAAGGAAGTGGCAGATTTTCTCCGGTTGTGTATTTTCAAATTCTAGCGATCTCGAGCTGGTTTCTCAAACTTACCTACCCTACCTTTAAATGATGCAAACGTTTTTTTAAAAGCCCAACAATCTTACCAATTTCTACACACTTTAATTACTGATTGACCTCCTCATAATGCCCTCCGTTTGAATTCATTTAATGAACACTGGTGTGATGTATCTTGTTCTGATGTATTTTAAAAAGTGTTCAATAAAGTAGAAAATAAGAATTATAAATAAATACAAAATATGGGTTTTGAAAGTCGGAAGACATAAAAGCAAAACAGTGCCATCTAGCGATGACACAGCCGACCAGCACTTCCCGTGACGCAGAGAAACGCGGTAAAACGATATTCCGGTTTGTAGCAGGAGGGCAGAAGCAGCATGGCATCCGACAACAGCTCCATGGCTAACCTCGTTAACGGACGAGAGCCTGTCCCCCTGAACGGGGAGCCGGTCGTGAAGCGGCCCCGGGAAAGCGTCTCGCAGGAACCCTCTCTCCGCGTCCCGAAGGAGCCTCTCAACAAAGTGACCGTGGTGCTCGGAGCGCAGTGGGGCGACGAGGGCAAGGGGAAAGTTGTGGACTTGCTCGCCATGGATGCGGATATTGTATGCAGGTGCCAGGTACCCCACTACACTGTCTATTAAACTTCATAATATGCTTGAAACTGGTTTCTCCAGACAACTGTGGTGTTAGTAAAACGTCTGCTTACAGGAACATGGGAGTTTGGTAGCAACCGTTTAGCCACCGTTAGCTCAATATTAATGACGGGGTTCCGACATGGATCTATAGCACTGGATACAGCTTCGGAGGCGGGACCCCGTTCATTCCTATGAGAATTGCTCACTGGCGTCTGAAGCCAACATTAAGCTAAAGTACCCGTATGTGGGCTCGTAGAGCATGCGCACTTGAGTTTCCTCAAGCCCCGCCTCCGACCTCCCGCTCTCGGCTCAGTCAGATTAATGAGGGAAAATAACTCTGGATTCAGCTTTCAGCATATTTTACAACTTTTAGACCATAATGATTCAGATAAAGGCCATATACGTGTTCGTTCTGGGTAGTTGATTTAGTTCAAATAAAATATCCGCAGATTTACAGACGTCTCTTTCCCAATGTGAGTCAATGAGGAAACGTGCAGTAAAATCGTTTGGCCACTACGAAAATATGCTTCGCTTTCCGGCGCACTTCCTGGGGGCTTGGGCTCCGACGTCAACAACCTTGCCTGACCTCCCGGATGTAGAAATGCTAAATTGATGCTAGTGAGAACTGCTCAGATGTTATTCATTTTCCGTGCTGATAAAATGTTAACTGAATCCAGCACATGACCTCCAGATACTGATAACCTTACTCAGTGAATGCTACGTTATGTAACAGTTTGACCGGCCCGGCTGTTCCTCTACCTCTTTGCAGCATAAACATTCGGGGCTCTGCCCACAGTTCATTAAGGTACATTAAGGTACCGGGCGCTACAGTGGAATTTTCTACTGCAACACTCCCCACAAGCACATACACAAGCACATACACAGTACACCCGCGACTGTTACAATGGAGGCTCGATAATCAGCTCACGGCATATAGGTGTAGGCAGGGGTAAAGTGCTATTTTTTATAAGTGGGGGGCGGACCTAACCTCCTCTAGGGGGTCCTAACCTCCTCTAGGGGGGTCCGGGGGCATGCTCCCCCGGGAAGATTTTTTTTATAATATTGAAGTTAAAAGCATCTATCTGGTGTACTTTAAGAGCAAAATGAAGAGATCTATGGATACATCTTTCAACACCCATATGAAACAGAACTGTAAACAGATTTTCTTTTTATTTATGGATATTTTACAAATCACTCCCCTGTGACTGTGTAATGTAAGGTAGCTTCTAGCTTCATGTCGAACACTGACAGTAAGTCAACATTTTCCAGAGAGCTTTCTTTGAAATCACCAGGTAACGCTAAAAAACACAACATTTATATTGTATGACAAAGTGTTAATTTAATATCTCTGGCTAGCTATAGCTACTTGCTAACTGTTTAGCTTACCCGCGCGATTCAAAGTAACGTCAACGTAGCTGTAATTTATGCTTTGCTTACATGTTCGCATAACTTGAAAGTTTACTGACATTTACATACAGTACCTTGTTTACCTTGCACAAGTGTTGGCTCTGGGGTTGTTGTGTGAGCCACCACTCAAGAATTGTCGTCTTTTTTAAGAAAAAAAATTCTTATGTCCATCTTCAAAAACTCAGAGTCCAACTGACAGTTTAAACATTGTCACAGGATAGGTACCTGTCAGCCAATAAGACACGTTTATTTCCATGCAACTCTCTGGTGATTGGTCTGGTGTCTTGCCTCTGTTGCATTCACTGAACACGGGAAATTACACTCCTGCCGTCCTCTAGTGTCATGATGAGGTTCAGGTAAAGCACGGTTAATGTATTATATTATTGAGGGAGAATTGTCCGGGGCTAAAGAAAAAAGGCCCAGGCCAGGCGACGCGCCTGGACATGAGCATTATTTTGGGGAAACTCTGCACATGCAGTGGCTGTCCAGTGGTGTAAAGTAACCAAGTACATTTACATTTATTAAGCACTGTTCTTAATTACAATTTTGATGTAATTGTTCACTTTACTTCAGTATTTGCTACTTTGTATATTCTACCCCATGACAATTCAGATGTAAATAGTGAGGTTTTACTCCACTATATTCATTGCATACCTTTAGTTACTTTGCAGATTTTCATTAATGATTTGAATTATATTTAACACTTAAATCAGACTTTAGTTACACCTGGAGTAATATTCACATTCTACCCTGCAGCATCCAAAGTAATACAAATTAGCTGCACCTTCACCAGCTTTAATAACCCTTTAATGCATTAATGATTAGAAGATGGACCTTTTATTAATCCCCCGAGGGGGAAATTCAGTTTCTATATGTTTATAATCAAAACGTATAATATATATAATTTGGAAAATGGCCAATTTGCTTAATGAGTACTTTTTCACTTATGTACAAGATCTGAGTACTTCTCCCACCTCTGATTGTGACCCTGTTCTCAAATAAAACACAGGCTGAAGTGTTTAAAAAGACCATGAAGCTTCAACTGTCCTCGATGTTGATGGTTTCTGTGAATGTTTTGTTCTGTTTGCAGGGAGGCAACAATGCAGGTCACACGGTGGTGGTGGACTCTGTGGAGTACGACTTCCACCTGCTGCCCAGCGGAGTGCTCAACAAGAAGGCCACCTCCTTCATTGGTACGAGACCATCCTTGTGTTGTATTTTTAAGGATTATACTTTCACACGGAGAGAAGGATCCTAAAGTATATTGTGGGGGAAACTTCTGTGTAGCAATGCAGGAGGAGTCACCGACTCAAAGGAGACACGGGGAGAGCAGGAGCTTTGATGGCAAACACTGATGGTTTATTTGGAGCTTCGGCCGGAGAATTCACAAAACAAGTCAAAGAGTCAGAGGTTCTGACTTCACGGTAGAGTTGCCACGTCAATTCTGAAGAACTCTACCCCAGACCCATGTATTTAGCTAGTTCAGAGAGAATAATCAACATTGTGCATAACAAGATAGAATCATAACACCTCTATCAGCTGACGCCAACAGCCAGGAACAGGGAGACAAAACACTGAGAGCACAGCAGCCAAGGTTACAGGTGCGTGTGCTCAGTCAGGACAGTATGCACTGGGTCAAAGTTATGGGCCTTGGAAAATATTTCCCCAACATATATGACCGAGATAAGGGCGGAAATCAGAAGCGCCGCCGCAGACAGCCATATCAGTTGTAATGTAGATATGAAGTGTGTTTATGTATAGCTAACAACTACTGCCAACCCTGCAAGAAATCCTACCTTACATAAGACTACTGTTGTATTGGAAATGATCTAGATTGGTGTTGATTCATTCATTTTGTTTCTAATATATGTCCACCCTATTTATATCAATAAGGCTAGACTATATAATAGAAACACCCTAAGTTCAACAGCAATACAAACGTAAGCCTCCAAAATGATCATATTGTCGAATCAACACCTCTCCAAAACAGTTTCAACAGAAATGTCTAACCATCTTTAATGTAGTTTGTATTGCTTTGCTGTTATATCAGACTGGTACATAAAGAAGAAATCAACACAAATTTCCTCTTTTTAGTAGACTTGTTTCCAGTATGATGAAAACATGGAAAGAGGAAGCAAAAAAAGAACTCTTGTTAACCCTCTGAGACTCCAAATATCACGTTGTGTTCAGAGCGTCATAACTTCTCAGCTGTTTGAGCCAGAGACATGCCGTGTTTTTCCTCTTAAACTACAGAAACGGCAATAAACAACTCCATTAAGTTTTCCATCGAGAGGCGTTTACTTATTTCGGTGAAACGAATGTGCGTAAAGTTTTAAAAGATGCGGATAGTCTCACCTTGATTCTGGCGCATTGCTTATCGTTTTCTGTTTTATAGATCTATTCTCATCCACCATCTTTGTTTGTGACGTAAAGAGTGTAAGAGTCACGTTTCTGAATCGGACACTCTTAAGTCGATGCAGTCACAGCCAATCGGAGTCTGATTCAGAGGGTTGCCTGTAGTTCCGTTGTTTTGTGTACTGAAACGAGAGCCGGTATAATTCCACGCGCGAAAACAAAATAAAAGTTGTTCTTTTAGTGTTTTGAAAGTAAACTAAGGGATGGCAAGGAAGTTTACTACAGCTGAGGCTTTGGAGCTGATTTTTCAAAGGGACGATGTTGATTCAGACAAATCTGCTCAGCATGCCATGTGTGATTGTGGGGGAAAAAAACATGGACACTGCCCAAAAGAATGGGCATAACTAATGAACAGAATAAGTTAGAATCTTCTAATCAGTTCTGATACAATGATAATAAATGTGTACAATTTTCTGTGTTGAATGTTTCTTTCAATGTTATGGTTAGCAGTTCTTTTTAATGAAATAAGTAAAAGATTCAAGCTCCGTTTCTTATTTATTTTTTATTTATGGGCAAATATCCCCCATTATAGTGTATATAAGTCTCTAATGAGTGACATATATCATTAGCTGAGGTTGTGCTGATTTCTGGGATGTGTAAAACTTGATTATACTGCAAAACACAGAAATATACAAAAACGGAAATGTCCTATGTGGGTCTCAGAGGGTTAAAGTGATCCGTAACAAGATAGCTTGTGTGGTTAAAAATAAAACCTCAAGAAAAACACGAGCAGTCTTGTTGCTCAAGAGTTGGCACGTTGAGTTATTTCCAATATGGTTTGGTAAACAATCTTGAAATATATTATTTTTGTTACAGGCAACGGGGTGGTGATACACCTGCCAGGTCTGTTTGAGGAGGCTCATAAGAACCTGCAGAAAGGCAAAGGTAACGTTTTCTAAAGTTCAGTGATGTGTACCTATTGTCTTCCATATGATGCTATCAGTAAATAGGACATTTCAACAGAAGATGTTTTGACATGGCACAGCAGGAAAGGCACATGTGTCAATAAAAAAGAAAGAAAGATGGCTGTTCATTTAGTCGATCAGAGGCCTGGTAAATAATGGTTTAATGGGACAGCTGATTTAAGCTGAGCCATGTTATTGTAAATACCTTTATTCCTTACTGTGACTAGTTAAACTGTGTCCTGTGAGAAGATATATTGTGCTTCTAGCTATTTCTGTTATGTATATTTCCTGTTTTTCTTTTGTATGTCACTTATAGTCCGGTTAGAAATATACAGTGAAACTCATGGTGTCTATAAATATGGACTTACCCTAATAGGCAGGTTTTTAGAATGAAATGTTTCCATTTGTTTGAACCGTTCAGTGATGGACAACATTATCAGATGCAATGAAAGGAAAAACATTGGGTATTGGTATTTGCTCCTAAAACATAGATATGTCCCAAACCTTGAATAAAATATGTGTGATGTTGTAACACCTGCTTAATATGTGTTTGCTGTGGTACAAACATGTCATGTGGGTTCTGTTGTGTTGAGTGCAGGATTACAAGGATGGGAGAAGAGATTAAAGATTTCTGATCGTGCCCATATTGGTGAGTAAGCATTACTTTGTTCACATTTCCGGGTTAGAAATGTCCTCCTATTGACAGTCACTATATCCGCCTCTAGTGTTCAACTTCCATCAAGCTGTTGATGGAATCCAGGAGCAGCAGCGGCAGCAGCAAGAAGGGAAAATGTAATTCTGCTATATTTAGTTGAAATACTGCATATCTTTTACATTGAAGTGTATATTATAATGTTTGTGATGATTATTAATGTTGTGGTTTCTTTTATCTTCAGCTTGGGAACCACCAAGAAGGGTATTGGACCGGCCTACTCCTCTAAAGCCGCTCGGAACGGTCTGAGGGTCTGTGACCTCGTCTCTGATTTCAAGGTCTTTGAAGTCAAGTGAGTGTTTCTGTTGAGCTTCTTTTTCATATCATTTGCTTAAATTATAGTTTTTATTCATAATCAATAAAGTCATGTGTGTTGAGGGAATATGTCCAGCCCCTGCACAGATACAAGTTTGACTAGGAGTTCATTTTTAGCACATTTGAATATTCGACAAAGACCTCTTATGGACAGCCTAATGTCTATCACAAAGAGCAGATACATTTTTTCACTGTTTTTGTTTATTGAATCTTTCAAACAAGACACAGCAGTTTAGTGTTGAATAAATGCCCATTTCCAGACCTGTAAATAAATATGGAAAGATTGAGAGATAATAAATAATAAGTCAAAAAGAGTACAATAATAATCACAAATAAATAAATAAAGAGAAACGCAAAATAAATAAATAAAAATATAATAATCCAATACAAGGACAACATTACTGATATTAAAAATCTTATAAACAATTTATAAAAGTAAAATACAAATATGTATATAAAATACATTTGTGTTTTTGTATACAGCTTTCGTGTTTCAATGCATTTTATTTGTAGTGTCTCTCGCCACCAGATGGCGTCACCTGGCTGTGGTGCACATGTGTTTACTCTGTCCAGTATGTCATGTTGTGAGATTATATTTTTTGAATGTGTATTTTGCATACATAAGGGTGAACATTAATGTGTAAGCAGACTCTTACCATCTGTCTCTTTGCAGGTTCCGCATGTTGGCAAATCATTTCCTCACGATGTACCCAAACCTGAACGTGGACGTGGACAGTGAGCTGCAGCAACTGAAGGTGCGGTTATCGTGTAGTCAGGAAATACTGACTGTCACACTTTGTTCTGACTCACTTGTTCTTGATATGAGGACAATAGACCCTTTTTTCACCGTGGACACTTAGTCATGTCAGTGGAAAAGGCTCAGGTGTCAAATAATGCAATGCATGATGGCTGGATGTAGCTGCTGTAGTTTCAAGGTCCTGCTATTGTGCAAACTGCCTAACTGTCATGGCAACAGAGAAATTGTTAATGTTCTCACGAACAGCAGTGCTTTTACTACTGTGATCATTTATAATGTCGGCTGTGGGAAATGGCTATAGTTTGTGTATGAAAACATGTAATTATTGGGTTGATATTTATATATGTAGAAATATTATTTTTTACTTTTTATTTTGCAAGTTAAATTCAACTTGCAAAATGTTAAACAACTTAGACCTTTGTTAACTGTCAATGCTGCAAAGTCATACCTCCGCTATATGATTCCATCCCACATTGAAAACTGGTCGTTTGCTTGTGCCACAAACCTGAAACCCATAGAACAGCTGTACAAGAGAGCTATCAAGGTGTTTGACAGAAAGCCATATTCATACCACCACTGTGAAAAACACAATTTCTTGAGCTTTGACCATTACCAAAAGTATGTGTTTTTTTTATAAATGTTTACATGGACTGCCCAAAAAAATGAAATGTATATAAAATATGATAGCTGCAGGATCATTTGTGTAGATACAGATTACTTTGCATGGCTAAATCTGCCGTATTTTGATTTCATGCAATTTTGAATAGAGTTCTCATTAGGATACAGGAGCTAACTAAAGCTGCTATATCTATGAAAACAAATGTTGTCTAAGCACTTGATGGTGACTGTTTTTCAGGAATATGCAGAGAAGCTGCGCCCTATGGTGACCGATGGCGTGTACTTCATGCACAAAGCTCTTAATGGTCCCAGTAAGAAAATCCTGGTGGAGGGAGCCAACGCCGCTCTGCTGGATATCGACTTTGGTAAGCAACACGGGATTTGTGGAATTAATAATATAGATGTTTTTTTCTTCCTGAGGTTAACCGATGTTTCTCTGTTCAGGGACGTATCCTTTCGTGACCTCTTCCAACTGCACCGTGGGGGGGGGTGTGCACCGGCCTCGGCGTGCCTCCATCCTACGTGGGCCGGGTGTACGGTGTGGTCAAAGCCTACACCACCCGGGTGGGCGTCGGTGCCTTCCCAACAGAGCAACTTAACGTGAGTACAGACACATCTGGAGACAGATTTTCGATTGCGTTGAAGAAAAATATCTCTCTAATGATAGAAGTGGTCGATGTTGAGATTAAAGCATTCAATTCATCACTGGCTCCTCAGGCAGATTTTTGTTGAATAGCCAATGTACTGCAAGGGGTTTAAGACAATGTGTGATGTTATCAAATGATCACACTCTGTCAGCTAAGCATGTTTAGATTGGGGTGAAAGCAGTGTGCGAAATACCCGTCAATAATCGGGGCGGTCCCCATCTCCCGTTTATTGTGCAATATACCGGTCGAAGATAGATTTGTCAATATGCACTAGGCCTATACAATATTTCATGGATGCAAGCCAAGACAATCTGTAGTCTATAGCAGCGTTTCTCAACCGGGGCGCCGTCTGGCGTCTTCAGGGGTGCCCTCAAATCATTCTGTATTCTGACGTTCATATGAATGAATACGCGACCGTTAAAGAGCCGTCTGTTTTCGGTTCTATGCGAGGACATGCTTTTGCCAGCCAAAATAGAAGATATTTGTGAATAAATGTTTTGAATTATGAATACTGGACATAGTAAGCTTAAAAACATTTTAGTGACCATTGCAAGTGACAAATACATATTATAATTTGAGACCCCCCTCAAATGTTGCTGTTGAGGCTTTCAGGGGGGCTCAGGTGTTAATCAGGGGGGTCGAGCTCCCCCGGACCCCCCCGTATTCCGCACACTGGGTGAAAGGTATATTTAGACAAACATTCAGGTAGAGAGTAGCATACAGCATTTACTTTATCTGAAATCATTTCAAAATAAACCAAATATTTAAAAGGTAGTCATTAAGAAATCAAAAGATGGATTCATAACAATCAGGGTTCGTACGGTCATTGAAAACCTGGAAAAGTCATGGAAATTCAAAATGCAAATTCTAGGCCCTGGTAAAGTTATGGAAAACAATATTTTTCCCAAAGTTTTGGAAAAGTCATGGAAATGTAACTAAAGTTGCGTCAAATATAATTTACATTTGATCTAATCGCCTAAATAATCTGCGGTCGCGAGCTGTTATGTGCCATCATGACGCGCATGGTGTTGTTTTTTAATATATGAAGCGCGAGCTGTGTGCTCGAGTCTTCCTGCCTGTCGGGCCGGCTGAACTCTGCTGCTCCGGGATGAGGGTCAGCTACATTATCTACGGTGTGTTCGTTAACAGTAACTGTGCGGAGTCACTGTGGCACAGACTGCGCCGCTGGTGAACAGCTGTTAGAACGGGCCGCTCAGGTGTTCAGAGCAGAGCGGCAGAGCGTGATGTGCACTGAAAAGTTTTTCTGTCGCAATATTATTTAAGGAATCGTTGAGCTAGCTAGCTAGCATACATTGTCACTATTGCAGGTCTCCCTTGTAAAAGAGATCGTTGATCTCAATGGGATTTTTTAACCTGGATAAATAAAGGCTACAAACAAACAAACTATCTGCTAACGTTAGCTTTAGCCTTCGTTTTCTAATAGTTTTTTATAGCCTATAAACAGGTGGTATAAGTATAGATATTGTACTAAAGTAGAAGTACTCAGGTCTTGTACTTGAGTAAAAGTAGAAGTACTCAGGTCTTGTACTTGAGTAAAAGTAGAAGTACTCAGGTCTTGTACTTGAGTAAAAGTAGAAGTACCAGAGTGTAGGAATACTCTGTTACAGTAAAAGTCCTGCATTCAAAATGTTCCTCCAAGTAAAAGTAGAAAAGTATCATCATCAAAATATAGTGAAAGTAGCGACAGTAAAAGTAGTCATTCTGCAGATTGGTCCATTTCAGAATAATATATATGATATGTTTTATAATGATTGATCATGAAAGTGTTCTCAAAGCTGGTAAAGGTGCAGCTAGTTTGAATGACTTTGTATACTGCAGGGTAGCTTGTGAATCTCGGATCCTTGTCACCTTTTTCATACCTGATGAGTTTGCATCCCTGACTACAGTTGCTTTAGTGTGTAGAAGCTAGTAAGCCTACTATTTGATTTGTTTTAGATAGGCACAACATGTTTCATATGCAGACCTTATTTTCCTGTTCCATGTTAAAATAAACAATTTTCAGTGGTAATTTCTTTTGGTCATGGAAAATGAGGTAAAGGTCATTGAGAAGTCATGGAAAAGTCATTGAAAATCATTGGTGAAAAAGTGTATGAACCCTGAACAATATATGACTGAACTAGAACCCACTGGGGTGTAAAAATATGAAAGTGCTGCAGAGATGGTAAGTAAATCATTTAGGCTGTGTCAAATACATTGCAGTTATTACTCGCACATAAACCATACATTATTACAAACAATGTGTGAATACTAAAGTAAAATAGCAGCCTACGGTCGGTTTTTTATGTTCTGATTTTCAGAGTGTCATATCTGCTCGAGTATGAAACTTTGAAAACACAATAGTCACTCTGTAGTTTCTGTCAATTGAAAAATGCTTTCAACATAAAACGTTCAAAATACAGACACGGCCACAACACACAGAGCTACCATAGCTGCAAAGTCACAGCCATTCTGATTGACCCCATAAGCCAAACAGGCCTCAGTGGCATCATCAAGCTGTAATGGTTAGCTTCAGCTGGTGGTCAGACATTGGTTAGTTCAAATCTATAAGATTGCTGGGAAGTCTGACAGCTCTTTAACTAGACACTGGGCAGCTTCCTCATGTGAGTGTGAAATTGAAGCAGGATGTAAACTGGAAAACGGCAAGTCCAGCTGACTGTCCCTACACAAATGAACCTGTCAAAACAGGAAGCATGAACAGGATCTCTAAAGTAAATATAGTTATTCATAACTAGTTGTTGTTCACAGTTGACGGTGTGTTTGTTGTTTGTTGTCCTTCAGGAGACTGGAGATCTGTTACAGTCCAGAGGGAGAGAGTTCGGCGTGACCACGGGCAGGAGGAGGCGCTGTGGTTGGCTGGACCTGATTCTGGTCAGATACGCCCACATGGTCAACGGCTTCTCCGCGTAAGAAACTATCCCAGTGTTAAATTGTCCCACAGCTTATGTTAATACTGAGGTTACTGGTAAGCTCCATGCTGCACACTGACCATCTACAGTCATCAATTTAAACAATCTTTCTCGCAGGATTGCCCTGACGAAGCTGGACATTTTGGACACGCTGCCAGAGATTCAGGTGGGCGTGGCCTATAAGGTTGACGGAAAACCTCTGCTAAGTTTCCCCGGTAGGTCCCTCCCATTTAGATGTTACATTGACCAGCTCTTTGTCCGCCCATTAAAGAAAAACAGTGGAGTCAGCAGTCGACAACAAGCATTAGTTTATTAACTTAAGTAGGAGTTTCATGGAGAGCAGGGCTGCAACTCATTATTTAAATTAATATAAAGTATCTAAATCTAATTATGGTATCTATTCAATACAAGTTTTTCAATCAATTGTTTAAATGACATGAAAATAGTTTTAATGTATTTGACAGGATACTGAAACGCATCATTACATCTTCAAATGTAGCTTACAGCCGAAAGTAAATGTATATCATAACGTATAACATTTTATTAAGCAGCCTTATTTATCCAAAGTAAAATAAAATAAATATATATCCTTTTCTATATGTTGTTTTTTGGTGTGATACAGCACCTTTAAAAACCAATTTAAAGCAGCAACACTTTGCACATTTGAGAATCTGGAACAAATAATTGTTTTGCTATTTTTACATAAATAAAAGAAGCTAAATGATCCTGTTATGTTACAATCTTTAAAATAGTGGATCTCGATGTTCCTATCTGTAATGGAAAGTTAAGAGTACATTCAACCACAAACGTTTTAACGGCAGAGACAGGATTCTTATATACTCTGAGGAATTATCATTTTCAGAGGCGCTGCTTAGACTTGGGTAAAGGTGAATAGCTTTTATGCTCCTTAATGTCTTATTTTACACCGGTCAGCTTTTACTTGCTGGAAATGCATCATCTTGGGCTTTAAAAATCTATTTTGCAGCAGATAAGGATGCATTTATCTTCCCTCTGCTTGCACAGCCAAATGGAGCACATTGAATTGTTAAGCTAATGAACAGGAGAATGATAAAACCGCCTCTGCCTCACTCATTTCCTCGTATATTTATCACCTTTATGGTGCTGGATGTTTGATGAAGTAGCTCTTATCCTGATCCGGATTTGTTTCACAGAGTGCCTTTCTTTGAACAGTATCAAATACACTAAGAAGCCTCACACCATATTAGATTAAATCTAATCTTTCTTGTATACTGTGATAGAAATCCTTGGTGCATTGAACTGGAACTCAATGGTGAGTCAAGAGAACAGAAACAGATTTTTGGCACTGAAGATTGTTTGGAGGTTAGGACACACTCCCTCGCCCCGGCTGCTCAACTCAGTTATTATCAAAAAGAGAGGGGTTTTAGGACTATTGAGAAGTAAGAAGGGCGTCATCTCTTAATACACTTGATGCAAAGAGCCTGAGGAAACCGGTGCCATCTTATCTCTACAAGGCCGAATGCCTGCTGTGTGCAAATACAGCAATGGAGAACTTATAGTAGAAGATGTGATGCGCTCATTAATGAAAAAAGAACACCGACATGGTGATCAGGATCCTGACGCGAAGCTTATAACACGGCTACCTTCTAAATAAACCAACAACGCAACTCTATATTGATTTAAAAATGATGGCCTTGCTTCCACTAAGAAAAAAGTAATCCGTTCCACTGCGTACCAACGGCTGGAACTGCGACAGTGTAACTTAAAGTGACTGTCAGAGACAAACTCCTTCTGGAGGGATTTTAGTCTTAGCAGACCATTTACATGCACACAAACCGATATAACACTACAGGAAAGGGGAAACCCCAGAAAGCATATTACGGCCTGTTTAAATCCGTAATAGTAGATCAACAATGATCTTCCACTCATTGTCATGGTTGTGCTTCTTTAGCGAACATGGACGTGTTGACGCGGGTGTGCGTGGACTACGAGACGCTGCCCGGCTGGTGCTGCAGCACGGAGGACGCCCGGAGCTTCGAGGAGCTGCCGGTAAACGCACAGAAATACATCCGCTTCATCGAGGACTTCCTGCAAGTGCCAGGTTTGTAACTATGCTCTTTACAGTAATGGATAGACGGCAGCCAAACTGTTCCTCGCTTTGCCAAACCTGCCAGTCACATCTTGCCTTTTTTTTCCTTTCTCATTTCAGTGAAGTGGGCCGGAGTCGGCAAGTCCAGAGAGAGCATGGTCAAACTGTTTTGATGGGACCTGTAGTCCTTCTCAACGTCCGCTCACATAATTCCAGGTTTCCATAGGATCACCGGAGGAGTCTCAAATGCAAAAGCCTCCTACAGGAATCACGTCACCAGCAAGGCTATTTGGGAAACATTTAGTTGCTGCTTCTGCATCACATTTTCCAAAAATTCCTCTTAGATATAATTTATGCATTCCACATAATGTTCGCTATATTTATTAGGGTGTTCATTTTAAAAACTTGGTGCAAATGGATTGATCATTCTATTACATGTAGTTGTTCTGGTTCTTTGTAGCATCTTAAGCTTACTTACCTTAATTCATATCTGTTCTCCATTTCTTTTTTGTTACATATATTTGAAGAGCCAGTGATGAACGGGTGTAAAGCCTTTATATAAAAGGGCACAATAAAACTAGAGATCATTTTCAGGCTTTGTAAAGAAATGGAAAGATGATGGAAAGCCATCGTTCGATCAGATTTTGAACTTTTCTATTGATCAATTTTAAAACGCATGAATGCATCTTGGTTAAGTTTGTAACAATGTTTTCATAATGATTGTTGGAATGAACTTAGTGCTTTTTAAATCATATTTGAAAATGGATAAATTCACAACTTGACTTTAAATAGATGTTTTTCTTCATAATTATTGAGGGAAAGTAGAAATTCCACGTCAACACGGAGTCATTGGCTGGTCTGTGAAATGTTTGTGTAAATGTAAAGACAATGGGCAGTAATGTACCAGAGTGTATCACAATATGTTTCCTACGCCATTTCATTCCTCGGCAATAATGTAAAAGAATCTTACTCAGCTTGCTGTTATCAATAAAAGGAAACTAACATTTCATTTGTTGGGTGTTTTGTCATTTTCATTCAACCTTTAATTAGTGGTTTAGACAATATGGGTCTGGAAAACATGTTGTTGGTGTTAATGTCACATTTAAACAGGAAATAAGGTAACCAAGACGATTGCCACCATTCTGGTCATTGTGGTCTTATTCATTATGCACGCATTACCCTTTGCTGGCTGTATAGGGAAGATGTGTGTGTGATTCCATTCAGCTGCATCTCTGAAGGTCTCTAGGCTAGGCAAGGCAAGGCAAGGCAAGTTTATTTATATAGCACCTTTCAACACAAGGCAATTCAAAGTGCTTTACAAAAATGGAAGACATTATGAAAATGGCAATAAAATGGTTAATGGCTCTACAACAAAATGTAAGTCGAATCCAATCAATATGTGTATGCTATGAATGAATGAAATCAATATGTATCATATGATATCATAGGAGTCACTTGTAGTAAAAAAAAGGCACCGGAGATATTCTCCCTCAAGTTTAAGGAGCGTTTCCTTTTTTTATCAGTGTGTCGTGGTGATGCAGGAAGCTGTTTTTTAGCAGCGGGGAAATGATTGACTCATCGTACATCACCCATTGGTTTTTGGAATACTGTTTTTAAAGGTCACCTAGTATGCAAAATCCACTTTTTCATGTCTTTTATAATGTGAGTCCCCTCTGTGTAAAGAGATTCTCTCTCTTTTTGTCCTGATCCATTTATATAAAAACCTGTCTGAAAATGAGCTGATCAGATTTTGGCCACTTTATGTCATCAACGATTTATGATGTGTAACCATTAGCCAATAACCAACCAAGGTAACCCCCCCCCCCCCCCACCTTATCACCTGAATCTCCTCCTAGAGCACCATTGTGTTCTTTTTAACCAAATCTCTCTCAGAGGGGCGTGGGGAGTGGCTCCTTATTTTCATCTAAAGTAACAGACAGAGAATCAGCACTTTTGGAACAGGGCTGAAACAGAGGGGATTATGGGATGCTGCAATGATCTGTTTGGTATTTCAGCCAAACACTTCAGAGATATTATTTGTATATATCTGAGACCTATAATATATTGATGTAAAACAGTATAATAGGGGACCTTTAAGCTTTGAATTTGCCTTTTTAGCCGCTTTAATCTAGATTTGTTTTAACCAGCAGTGACATCAGAGGGTGGAGCTTAATACTACTCAACGCTGAGTAAGACATTTTTAGGCAACCAAAAGCTAACTTTCATAAACTGACAAGGTTAAAGATGAAAACAAGCAAACAATACAACACTGTTGTAGCGACCTGTCAATCAGAAGGTAGCCACACCCTAAACCAAACACCTCTTTCATTTCAATGGGATCGAAACGTACTAAAGGAACATCTGCTCAATTGAAGATCACTTGATATTAAATTTGTCGGAAAAATGATTACTGAATCTGGTAGAGGTGTCAATAGTCAGCTGTTCTCCACTGTTTTTCACACCTTTCAGCCTGTAACATCTTTCTCTCAATCTTTCTTCCTTTACACCCTCCTTAGTTAGCTGACTTCCTCTCAAGATTTAAAAGCTTTTCAGGGCCTGGAGGTATTAGATTAAAGTGTAAAGTGGATTCCTTGGCGAATCGATTGAGGTGTAACTGTCCTAGGGCTTCTCAGATACTGCAGTCTAATGTGTTAGACCCTGCACACACACACAGGTGTTTTCCTCTTCTGGCTGACGAGGCCTTGGTCCGGCAGAGACTTGGAAATGATCAAGTTTGTTATATGAAAATATGGGACTGCAACTGGAATTTGTGTTAGATATGAAACAGAAAATGTCCTTAGGAAATATGAATTATTTCTGACAGTTGTATTGGAGCTGCCTTTTAAGAGGACATATGATGCTCATTTTCAGGTTCATTTTAGTAGTTCAAAAAGCTCTTTAGTGTTCTCATACTGCCTGTGCTGCAGCACCTCTTTTCACCCTCTGTCTGAAACCACGATTGTTAGGTAGTGATGTCACTATGTTACGGAAGTAAACAAAGGAGTCCAATGGAGGTGTTTCAGGCAGGGGGGGAGTGTGTGGGAGAGAAACTCCTTCTGGAGGGAACTATGGGATTTTAGCTTTTGCACACAAACCTATAGAACACACTACAGGAAAGGGACAACTCCAAAAAGCAGAATAGGGCCCCTTTAATTTATTCTACAGCTCTGTAAGAAATGAAGGGACCCCTGCAAAATGATCAGTTTCTCTTGCTTTACTATTTATAGGTATGTGTGAGTAAAAGTAAAATAAAAAATATACATTTTATTCTTTAAACTACTTCAATTCAACAGACACTGGAATGGAATGGCTGCCATACATGAAGAGATTGAGATTTAAGAAACATTTGGAGAGTTCTCTTGATTTTTTCAGAGCTGTATATAGAGACTTGTTTGTTTTTGTGCCGCTGCCCCTTTATAAAAAAACAAACATTTGTATGATGTTTTTCTTCTACTGCAAGTGTGTGTTCCGTTAAATGAGCAAAGTTGCAGACGTTTGCTAACCAATCAATTTCCAGTCCAAGAAGTCCCTGCATCATCAGAATTGGCAGAAAGTGAGCTTACAGCATGAGCATGAAGGCTTAATTGAAAATAAAGTGCTCATAATAGCAGTGTCGTCCTCCTCCCCCCACACGTTCCCCCCTCCCTCCTTTTCTTCTGTTTACTACCACCTTTTAAGCACATCTATCATCAGCCCAATCAATTTGAGCTGTTATTCAAGTGTAGCTACCTTTCAGAGGGTCATCCCTCATCAGATCTCTTTCCAAAAGCTGTCTCGTTTGTTCTCCCAACTGCCTGGACATTAATTCATGTATCCTTATACTTCCAGCTCAACAAAAACGTTAAGGGAATTGAAGCCGTCAATCTACGAGAAGTAAGTTTTTCAGATTTTCACATTTCGTTCCATGTGTGTGAGGAGGAGTCTGATAAGTAAGGCCCATATTGTTTATATGGTGTGATATCATAAGAAGGGGTTGTTTGGTAGAGATCAGATTATGTCCATTTCTGATATCTGCATGATCTTTCGGGAGTGTTTGGTCAATATTTGACGATGAGCAGTCAGGAGTCGCTGACTGATTCATGAAGCAGGAGGGAAATGTTTTGTGCAGGCAATGCAAAAACTACCAAGTAATTGCTTTTCCTGCAGTATTTTCTCCCTGTGTACAATCTATAGAGCTTCCTGATTAGCATTGATAACTGCATTTATAAATAATCACCATATATCCTGATTTATGCGCACACAGCACAAGAGAGCAGTTTCATTGGGTTGGACAGTGTTCAGGTTGTGTGAGAGCTCAGAGACAGCTCCTCTCACACAGATTGAATTGAAGGAGTAAAATGTGTTTAACAGTTTATTTGGTGAGTGCATGGAATAAATCAAATCCTGCTACTCAGCAAGTAGAGACCAAGCCCAAAGCAGGAACATGTGGAGAAAGATGGTTTCAGTTCTTCGAATTAGACTCATTTCACAGATGCATAAAATACATTATAACCAAAGGAGGGAAAAATATTCAGATCTATTACTTAAGTATAAGTAATAATACTTTACTGTAAAAGTACTGCATTTAATATGGTACACAAGATAAATTATGTAAGTATGAGGAGAATATACTTAAAGTATAAGGAGTAAAAGTACCCATTGTAGAAACAAACAAAAAATAAAAGCAGCAGAACTTAATTTTTGCGAAGCTGGAACTATAACACGTTGTATTCACCAAAAAGTGCCTAATCAATCAGCAAATGGCAGCCAATAAATAATAATAATAATAATAATAATAGCGGTTCTGAAAGGGTGAGTTTGGAATTCTGATTTGAACATGGTGAGATGCGACGGAGAAGGCTTTGTCTCAGAATAATTGTTTTAGGTCTTACTTAATTATATCGTTGGATAGTTTAATCTACATCAAACATCACATTTTAAAGGTTCTTCATATGGCTGTGTGTACAAATCTGGATCTTTAAAGTAAATGGAGCTATAAAATAAATGCAGTTGGGAAAAAGTTCAAATATATCCCTTTTAATTGCAGTAGAGTAAGTACAGTACTTGAGTAAATGTACTTAGTTACTCTCCACCACTGATTATAACATTGATGTTAAACCCCTATGACAAACCCAAATACAATTATGTGCTTGCTAATTTCCTTATTATGAACAAGAATGCATCTGTGTATTACACTTAACACTGTGTATAGGCGACATGTGCATATTACTAATTAGTTAACAAATACCAGTCTGCATTTCATTTCTGTTAAATACATTATTTTGACCATACTGCGGCAAAATCTACTTTCCCTTACTCAAAGAAACCTAACATGATAATAAAAACATCAGTATATAATATTTTAAAACAGCATTGATCTTCTATGTCACATGAAATCAATCCCCTTTGAGTTCCTGTAAATTGTATCGTTGCTGACTCCTCTTGTTCAAAGGGTGTGTCAAACATTTCAACCAATCAGATTTGAGATGATGATCAGCTGATCGACAGAGCAACATAGAGCAAGGTGTTCAAGTGTGTCAGTTTCCAAACATGTCCACTTCCTAAAGGGCTCTGGATGTGGATAATAAATATGTGAAAACTTTTAGGTATGTTTACTCGACAGAGGAAAGTGACAATCTCTCTTCTGGTTAAACTTGCTCACTGAATGCTTGAAATAAAAAACAATATCTAAATGCAAAGATGCTAACATTGGTTCATAATGGCATTGGACATGTTTGACCTATACAGTATAAAGCGTACATTATTGCTCATTCATATTTGAAGTCTGACTGAAATTGAGGTTCCCATAGGAATGAACTCTTGTTTGACTCCCGTGCATACTAAGTTAAGCAAACGGAAGAAGTTCTTGCTTGAGTAAAAAGTATCAATACTACATTCTTAAAATACTCTACAAGTAAAGGTCCCGCATTCAAATGTTATTCAAGTAAAAGCACAAAACTATTGGCATCAAAGTATACTTCAAGTACAAAAAGTCAGAGTACTCATTAAGCAGTACGGCCCGTTCCTGAA